TCTTTCAAAATACCAAATTAAATCCACCACTTTATAATTTTTTAATTTTAACCCTTAAATTGGGGTGTTACAAGACATTTTGAAGACCGTGCTGAGCCAGAGGTTTCTGCATTTACATTTATTATTTATTTTGTTTCGTACTATGCATTACTAGATTATGCCCGTTATGTTTTGAGTTTTGTCTCCCAAAACCTTCAGATTCCATTTGAGTGTATCGAATGTTTTGTTATCGTTGCGAGACTAATGATAAAACTCAAATTGTGTAGTTTGTGGGTTTTGAACTCGTATCTTCCAAAGCCATCAACTATCTTTAGCCATCTAGGCTAGGTCACTATTTTTGTTGGGATATATTGAAAATATCTCTACATCTGATTAAACAACACTCAAACTCATTTAATTTAACAGAAAATCATATTATTCTTTTTGTTCGAACCCTAGATCTTCCAGAGATATCAATAGTTCCCTATTGCTCCACCGTCAAACCCATACTCTGACCAACTGTGACTGACACCGCCCCTATCAGTGGACCTTCGACCTCCCGTAACCAGAACCCAGTGGCCACTTATCAATAAACATGATCGTCAGTTATGGAAAAGCATTCGAGGCTCGTTGAAAACTCAACTTACCGTCTCTAGTTTTTTTATTTTTGATTGCTACAATCACCAGTGTTTAAACCACCCCCACCAGTCAAAGTGCCATCTCATCCCTATCAAATCTCTACCAACCAAGATCCATGAACCATCGTCGTTCATCGTAGAGGACCAATCGAAGGTTCATTAAAAAACCTAAGTAAATTGTCACTATTTTTATCGTTTTGGACTAATCCCAACGTTCGTTAGCCACATCGCTACCACTGTTGAAGTCCTCTCGTCTTTCCTATTAAAACCTGACTGGGTTTGATGTCTAACCATTGTGTCTTCGTCGTCCACCGTGGTAAGTGTTGTGATCTATTTCTCATTCCAATTACCATGATTTAGGTTTATTTTCAAGTTGTTGTGAGTTTATCTTGGTGATTTAGAGCATCAGAAGCAATCAACTGCTTCCCATGACCTTTTCTCCCGCTGCCACATGCCACTCTTACACGTGGGGCAGTTTTTCCAAATGAGACCCTTCTACAAGACCGGTCTGGTCAAACCGAACCCACCCAAACCAGTCTGAATTGCGTCTGCTTGAATCTATCAGCACAACCAAATCGACAGAACTGAACCATTGACCCTCTAAACCATTAAATTTGACATGACCGTTGACTTTTAACTTGACCATTGATCAGACTCGTTGACTTTGAATTTGACCAACGTTGACTGTTGACTTTGACAAAAAATGACTTTTTTTAAAGTTATATTTTATTCTTTTTGATGTTCTGTGTCCGAATTCGAAGTCTATTTTACCATATTCTTACCCAAAAATCTCTGAATTGATCTTTGAACCCGAACATGCATATGAATTTAAGTATTTTTGGTTAAGTATTTTTAAGGTTGGACTGAGAACCGATTTATTCTATTAATTATATAAGGTACTCGTGATTTTCCTGATTGTACATCTGCTCAACCCAGCACCTCTCGATCTAATCGTCCCCTTGAGCCCGTGATTAGTCGTTTGACTTGGTAAACCTATTTAATACTTCTTTTAATATATTACTCTGATAGTAAATATGTTATGATATGTTTTAGGATCGTGTACTACTATAGAGCGTAATGGGATCGGTGCTCAAAAGATCTTCTAGATCGATCTTTTTTATTAAGTGTGTTTATTTTGTGCTATATAACTATTTTTAAATATTTATTTAAATTATAATGTGTACATGATTGTCTCATCTAATTTAAAATATAACTATTTTATCTGATTTGACCTTTGAATGATTTATCTGTTTTAAATATGCATGATTTTATTATCTCTTGACTTTACTGAAACTATTGTAAAGACTATTTTATCGGGGTACTTTCTGGGATGTGACATGGAGTTTTGTAGGTTCTGCTTCGATCAAGCTGATAATTCCTTATAAACCTAAGACGACCCTTAGGTGGGTTCTTAGGCCCAATGAGCCTAGGGTAAGACCTTATGGATCCTAAGGCACTCCTTTAGAATAACTTATTTGCTTTGTTCTTAGGGTAAATCCTTTTGGACTTGCGGCATACCCTTTAGATGACTCCTACGCTTCGACTACGGTAAGTTCTTACAGATCTAAGGTGCTCCCTTAGTTTGGCTCCTAGCTCCAATGAGCCTAGGATAAGTCCTTATAGATGTAGTTTTGTCCGAACTGTATATGGTGTACGAACAGAACTACATCCATAATGACTTACCCAATGCCAATTGGAGCTAGGAGGGTAACTCTGTGTTTTAAATAAAAATCATATCATTATTTTATACTTTGATTCTAAAATCGGTTTTGAAATTTATTCACATATTTTATTTTGCACTTATTGGAACACACTAAGCCCCCTAGCTCACTTCCCCAAACTTTTTCCTTTTATATACTTTTGGATAGGCACCTTGGACCTGACACTTGAAGGATCGACATATTCCCTACAATATATTTTTTATAATATTTTCATCTTCCGAACTGCTTTTATGATTGGTAACATGTGCTTATATTTTGATAAATTTGTTTTATGACAAACTTTTTGTTTCTATTGATGTATAGATTATTGTTACTGGTTATTTAATTTACTTGTGATAATTTATGTTTTAAATTAAACAATTTGATTTTATAAATTTTAATTATAATTTTGAAAATGTTTCTAATTTTTTTATTATAATTCACTAGATTCAGTTGTAACGTATAAACCAAATATAAAAGGTTACAACCCACCAAAATTGTGTAGGAAAAATTCATCTTCACACTACCTTGTTTCATCTTCTTAGTTTCACAAAAACACCGTTGTTGAGACCTTAAGCTCCGGAGGGAATTCTAAAATTCCCAGTTCATGCAAATTCTAATTAAAGTCTTTGAAAGCTCTTGATCTACACCTCATACTAGTATATTTTGACTTGGATTCTAAGTTAGATAATAGAACCCTAACCCTATCAAGTGTTCTTACATGTTTAAATCATAAGTTTAATATGTGTTTTATAAATTGATGTTGATTATATGTATGATTATGCCATTAAAGTTCAAAAGAAAATTTTAATGTTGTTGATTAAATCAATAATGCGAGGCATAACCTAAGTGAATTAGGTTTAGTAACTTTAGATTAATATTTAAAATTTGAGTAAGGTATTTATCATGAGATCGTTATCTTGTTTTAAAAATATGTCTTATGAGCAAGTATATTTGGTTGTATGATAAAGTTATTCATCGTTATTCTATCATATTCCCTTAGGTCATGAGTTCTAGACCTACTAGTATCATTTTCATTCCTTCTCCTAGGGTTCCCTCTTCCCCTCCCTTTTAGGTAAAATTAGGATTATAATTATAATTTGTCAAACACACGCATATCGTATATGATGTGTGACACCACTACTTTTAAAATCCATGATCTCTATTTTCATTTTTAACGTGAGATTAATATTTCTATTTTTTTAAGACTTGATATTCTTCTCATTCAATCTCATGACACCTTCGTCACGGATCATCGTTATGGTTGTCCACCAGAACGCTTGATGTAAGATTGAACAATTAAAAGATTGCTTTGATACCTCTTATTATGAGATTATTACTGTCTTCCCAAAAGACATGTTTGATAAGATATATAACACAAAAACTTTTAAACTTCAGGATATCCCTTTTCTGTTTTGATGCATGATTAATGTCGTATATCTCTAAGTATATTACAAATATATTTATACTATACATCGAAATGTATTATGTTTTCTATATTTTAAAATGAATAAAGAGGTTTTATGTTAGAAAAATAATAAAAATTTATTTATGTATCTGTTAAAATTAAAATTATTAATTTTATATGATTAACTTAATTAAATGGTATAACTTTTATTTAAAATCTGAATTGAACTTTTTAAGTGACATGTTATTTTTATTGAACTCGTTGTACCTTTAAAAGCTGGAGTCATTACATTCAAGCCAACCTAATTTTATGTCATACTCCATGTTTAAAAGTAATAGTTCAATTTTTTTAAAAAAGTTACAATAGGTCAGATGAACATAAAATGAACATTTTACTTGTGTTTCTAAGGCATAATAATAATAATAATAATAATAAAATTACTCTATTGTTTGTAAAAATGATCATTTTACCTATTTTTTTCGTTTTATTTGTGTTTACATGTGATACGACGTGAGTAAAAAAATATTTTAAAAGTAAACTATAATTGTAATTAATTACATCTACACTTATAAAAATATATTTAAAAATAATTTTTTGATGACGTAGCATCACATGTGAACTTATCACGTTAATAAATCGTTGACCGTTATTCAACTAACGATTTTCATGTAACCAGAGGACAATTTGCTCCAAAAAAGAATTGAGACTAAAATACTCCAAAAGGAGGATAAAGTGACTATTTCTTCAAACGTTGGGGTAATTTGGTAATTTTTTTATTATGCTTTTTTCCTGATATATAAAGCCTTTTATGCCCTTTAAAAATACAAGACCGAGGACTTGTACAATACTTGTACCCTAAAAATGTTGGAAGGAAAAACGTTTTTTATTTACCTTTCTAGACCCTAAATTGTTTTTTAGGATGATTTTTTTTAATTAATCATTGGTATCTGATCTATTGATCGACTAATCCAGTTTGGGTATTGCAGAGGCGAGGGCAATCCTCCCAACCCAATTTGATCTGTTCGCAAACGTCACGAGTCAAACCCCTGATCTTGCTTAAGGGACTTAGTGCCTCATCCCACTAGACCAACTGATTGTTGGTATTTTAGGGTTACCCAAAAGCCCAATGTTTTTGAAAAACAAGTTCATGAAAATAAATTTACCTTTGGAACCATGCATATAGCCACACACACACAAGAAAAAAGAACAAGTTCAAGGATTTTGGCTCCACTTTTACGGCTGATTTCACACTCCCTTCAACCTCCAAACATTTCAAGTCTTTGTGTTTACTTGCACAGAATCCAACTGTATAAAAAGGGCAATCCACTCAACTTTTTTAAGCTTAAGAATCTCATGAAAACATAAGGGGAAAACAGTATATTTCAACTCTTGTAAAGAAGCTCAAGAATCCTCCCATTTTTAGCGAAGGGATATGGAAGACCAATTGAGTCCACTCAGCTGGGGATTTTGCTATAATGAAGAGGTAAACTCTTTGTCCTAGGGTAACTTGCTTTCAACATTGGGTATGTCTTGTTTTAGTTAAATTCTAACCTTTTTCCATTAAATTTACAGGGAATTGAAGATATAAAGCATACCCTTTTGTTCACAACTTTGGAGCTAGAGAATACACTGATATCAGCTAAAGAGGAGATTACAAAGAGAGACATGGAATTGCTTCAAATCAAAGATGTTCTGAGCAAGACGATGAAAGAGAGAGATGAAGCTCGACGTCGATGCCAGACGCTAATGCTGGAGAAATTCGTGCTCGAGCAACAATTGAAGCGCAATGAGCATCAAGGACAAGTGCAGCATGAAACTGCTTCACTTTCTGGTGTTTCTAACAGTGATGATGAGTCCAGCATGAGCTTAGTTTCAACACCGGGTTCCGACTCATTGCCGGAATCGTCTCCTCTTCCCCAAAAGGCCTTGAAATTGGCTACTAATAGGCAGCTACCGGAGAAAGGGAGGCTCCTGCAGGCTGTGAAGGATGCCGGTCCCCTCCTGCAGAACCTTCTTTTGGCTGGACCGCTTCCTCAGTGGCAGCATCCGCCGCCTCAGCTTACCTCCATCGAGATTCCTCCGGTGGCTATTCCTTCCCCTAAACAGCAATTCGTAAAACAAGAGGCTTTGAACGATGTTAATGGTTGTTTAAGCAAGAAGAGGAGTCCAGAGAACTATGAAGACCTTGAATCTTCTCCCAACTCCAAGTACCACAGGGATGATCTTCATTGAAGGTCAAATTATGATTCTAGTCCCTCTACTATACTAATTTGACATTATTTGATTTCATTAGTTAATCCAAATAGTTAAACACCATTAACAAATAACTACTCCGGTTAAAACAATGACGGTAACTTTTTCTTAATAACACCCTTCCGAATACAAGAAAAGAATATCATATCAATATGATAAATTCGAGGTGTTATTTTCAAGAAAATTGCATGTCAACATTTTAACCAGAATAGTTACGAGGTTAATTGTTTCGATTGACTAATGATTTTATAAAAACAGAAAGATCAAATGATGTTAAATTAAAGTATACGGACTAAATCATAACTCTAACCGTAACAGAAGCACTAAAACTATAATTTGACACTGCAACACAATTACCCAATGCCATCCCTTAATTTGGAAGACCAGTCTTTGTCTTAGGAATCAAATGTCCTAACTACCCACCACCAATGTACTTCAACGGAGGCTTAGAATGTTAGAGTTAATGTCTCTAGTTTATGCATGACTTTCCCAATTATGTATATTAATGGGACTGGACAAAGGGTTCCAAAATTCCCAAATTGTATGTTGCAATTAAATTGAATGTTTTGCCCTATGATTTAATGGCATTCCTTTCTATTTGCCTTTGCTTTTGTTGATGGCAAAGTTGGTTAATGGTGAAAAAAGTGAGCAATCATAGATCTTCAATGATATTTCTTTTTTCTTTACCATTAATGACGAATATCTGCGCTTAAACAAGACTCGAACTCGAGATCTTACTCAAGTGATATCAAGCTGCTTATTATTTGAACTAACCCCTGTCAGTATATTTCATATTTATCAAAGATTTCGGGATATATGGTTATTTTTTCCAATAACATATGATTATCAATCTAATTAGTTACCAACGGTTTTAATTTAGTTTAAGGCTAAATTAAAATAAAACGAGTGTACAAAGATTAAAGAGTAAACTACACAAATGGTCCTCCGATATAGGATATTGCTTTATTAAGTTCCTTGACTATTAAAAGTTATAAAATGATCCTCATATTATAGAGTGTTGCTTTCTTGAGTCCATCGACTATTAAAAGTTACAAAATGGTCACCCGACTATTCATTATATTCCAAACTCGTCCTTTTCCGTTAAAAAATTAAACACATTCATAGTTGAACGTTAACCTGTTGAATGTGATATGATAAAATTTGATCTTAGAATCTCAAAGACTATCATATCTCAGTTATCATGTTAACGTCCAGCTTAGACAACCACCAATTGTTTTTATTAAAAGGGGCGAGTTTTGAACATAATAATAGTCGGGTGACCATTTTACAACTTTTAATAGTCAAGGGACATAATAAAGTAACATTCTATGGTCATGACCATTTTATAGGTTTTAATAGTCGAGGGACTTAATAAAGTAATATCCTATTGTCGGGGGACCATTTGTGTACTTCACCCAAGATTAAAATCATTTTTTAGTTCGTTTTGTTATACTTTTTGTTTGCATGACAGAGAGTAAATAAAAAGAGAATCAAAATTATAGGGATCATAATGAAAATTCTAGAAACTTTTAGTAAATTACACGTATCAAATCCTTAAAAATAATTATATATATTTAATTTTTTTAGGTTTAAAAACGAAGTTAAAGATATAAAAATCTCGATAAAAAATTAGAATTCAAAATGTAATAACAAATTTGAGATTTTTCTACACCCGAACATCAAATTATAATCTTTTAGAATTTTACTATATATTTATAGTTCAAATAATAATATAATTTTATTTCCTTAAACATTGTTTCATTTAATGATTTTTTTTAATTTGTGTCCTTGTAATTTTTTCAGTTTAATTTTAAGATAAAAAAATTAACTAAAATTATTAAAAGATGACAATTTTTCTAAATCAACTTCAGCTGTCAGTAAATTTAGTGATTATAGTTGAAATTGTCATATATCTCTAATTAATTTTGGGTAAAGTACACAAATGGTCCCATGGACTATAGGGTACTGCTTTATTAAATCCATAGACTATTAGAAGTTGTAAAATGTTCCTCGGGCTATAGACTATTGATTTGTTGAGTCCCTCGACTATTAAAAGTTACAAAATGAACACTCGACTATTTATTATATTCATAACTCGTCATTTTTCATAAAAAAAATGATGATATTCTAAGTTGAATGTTAACCTGGTGACTATGATATGATAAAATTTGATCTCATAATCTCAAACAATTATCATATTTAAGTTATCATGTTAACGTTCATCTTAGACAATCATTAATTTTTAATAGAAAATGATGAGTTTGTAACATAATGAACAATTGAGTGACACTTTTGTAACTTTTGATAATCGACGAACTCAATAAAGTAACACTCTATAGTCAGAGAATTAATTTATAATTTTTAATAGTCGAATGACTTAATAAAATAGTATTCTATAATTGAAGATCGTTTGTGTACTTTACCTATTAATTTTTGGTATCGATACTTTTCTAAATTTTTTTCTTTTACCATTTCCCTCAAATAGCCGACAAAAGTATGAAAGAATTAGAGATAAATAATGGGTTGCTTCACATGGAGGGGTCAAGGCGATTGTTTACTTTACCAATGGGAGCGGCCATTCCATCAACATCCGTAATCATGCAGGGCCACATGCTGGTTTGCGCAACATTTACCGGTGAAAAGGTCCCCACACGTTTTCCATTGCTTCACTCTCTACTTAGATTGCCCCCAAGGATTGAAAGAAACTCATTCTGGCCATGTTTGAAGGCCGAGATGTCTGTTTAATTTAGTGATTTTCGAGCGTGATTGGCACCCACTCCAACTGTTCTTTGTTTTATCTTATTCACATTCTGACTTTGGTCTGGAACAGCTGATCTTAAAGTAGGGTTACGGGCAAAAGTCTATTGTCATATTGAAATTAAAAATTATATTTTTTTCAAATAAAGAAGACTATTATTTTTACAATTTGTTGATGAGAATAATGGGTATTGAAAGTGATTTATTCTTTCTGATTTTGATGGAGAGTTATAATCGGTAGTGAATCAATCATTAATTGATATCAAAGTGCTCTGTCTCCATAAATAGGTAGAACAAATACGAATAAGGGTGAGGTGGTTTCATCTAGGTCGCATCTCGTCTCTCGGTCTTGATAAGAGGTTTTATATTGACCCTTAGTGTGTTGTTAATCGTAAGATCATCATAATTACCAAAAATACCATCATTGATGTCAATACTCGTTTTGTCCTATTATTATTATTATTATTATTATTATTATTATTTCTTTGTGCAAGCCTATACAACCAACCCAAAATTGGGCCCCAAATTACAATAGATCCACCTAGTCCAGACTTGAGCCCAGGTAAAAAACCCTAGGGTCTCTTGTCATGTCCTTGGCGTCGCACGATCACAATCGTTGGATCTGGGAGAGATCCAGCCACCACTCATCATGGATCATTCGATCTGGACCCATCCAATGGTCCATATCAAGCCAATTAGATCTACCACCTTGCTACACCAGTCCCCAACCACCGACGCTTCAACCAATTCCCATCAGTCTCCTACCATGTCAGTTCACCCCAAGTTAGCAAGGCAAACCACAACACACACGCAAACAACAGTTGTAATCATTTGATTTTATTAAAAAGAAAAAAGAGAGATCTATAAAAGGAGTTATAAAAACCTCAGACAACCATTGTAAAATGGGTTCCTTTCTAGAAAGCAATAAAAAAACATAATTTTTAAGGTATTATTTTTCTTTTATCTTCTTACAGTTTCGAAGTAAAGAAAAATTGAAAATAAAAAAACCTTACATGTAACAAAAGCTAAGAGAGGGTTAGGTCTAGGAAATACCTTAGTTAGGGGAGTCGAACCTGAAGGGGCAATTCGTCTTCGGAACGGCAGCTGGAGTGTGCGAGAAGGCGAAAAGATGAAGCTCTTTGGGGTATTTATGAGGCTTTTTGGGTGGTTTTAGCCTTAGATCGACATTTAGGAGAGTATATCAGAGTTTAAGTAGTATTTTAGGGTAGATTTAAGTGTTCTGACAGCCATGTGTGGTGGCCAGAACGGCGACCGGAGTCGAGGTAGGGTGGTCGGCAGAGGGCCGATCGAAGAGAAAAAAAGAGAGTTAAGGGAGCTTTCTAGAGTTTTTTCTTTTAAAATCGGTTTCAAATGAAAAAAAACTAAAAGTTGTATATATAGAAAAAGTTAGGGAAAATCACACTTAGGTCCCCCTAACTTGCACTTGTTTTTTCAAAATAGTCATCTGTAGGGACTGGTTTTATAATTTACCCGTTTCTTATGCATGCTATATATTTTTGGGATAATTTTTGTTTAGTCCCCTAACTTTAGTGTGTTTTTGCATGTTATTCACCTGTAGGGACCGAATATGCTAGTTACTCACTTTTGTGCATGTTATATTTTTGGGTTATTTATGTTTTAATTCCTCTATGTTTAGCGTGTTTTAACATATTAGTCATGTGTAGTGATGATTTAATTTTTTAAATACTTTTGGTTTGATTTAGTAGTTTATCCTTTTTTTCTTTAAAAGCGTGTTTTAGGCTAGGAAAAAAGGAATAATTAGGAAATAGTCCCTTAGTTTCTGCATGTTTATATTTCAAACTATAATATGTTTTTTATTTAATTTAATTGGCCATGTAATTTTATTTTATTTTAATTTAGTCCCCATGTTTTATTTATTTTTATCCTTTGTAATTTTAGCACTTAATATTAAAAATGTTCATTTTAGTCACTTTTGCACTTTATTTTGTTTTAATTTTTGACATGATAATTTGATTATTTTTATTTTAGTCATATTTTCATTTTATGCTATTTTAATTTTTGCATGTTGCTTGTCTATTATTTCATTTTAGTCACTAACTAGTTTTGCATGATACCCTCATAAGCATTTCTTGACTTGAATTGAAATAATTTGACTAAGGGTAATATTCGTTCATTTTAATATTGTCGTAGAGTAACTGTCTTAACGTATAAGAAAGTTACTTTCGATAATTTAACTAATATATGATACACAACAACAAACATGAAGCTGTGACAGGCATCGTAGTGTGGCTGAAGGGTTGCATCTCGGAGCTCACGCACCCATCATGTCATAATATCCTTAGGTACCTGAGGTGAGATCCGAAACTGCATTGTAGACGTACACCCGACCCTTCGGATATGTGGGGTGAGATCTGGAGCTACATCGAAAACGTATAGCTCGCCAACTTACTTTTTCGAGTCTTGGGGCATCTGCGCCTAACTTGCAAGAGAAGTGCCTTGACACTGACAAAAAGACAATCGCCCTATTGCTAAAATAACTCGGGTGTCCTGGTTGTTTCTCGAGTGTCACACAAAGGCTAGTTTTATGTCATCCTAGTTGTAGTTGTTTCTAGCTGTTATTGCTACTATTTTTAACTGTTATTGTTAGTATTTTTAGTTGTTATGAGTTATTAAGAATCTCATTTACTATTCACCCTAGTTGTTAACTCGCTCGTTCTCTAATTTAGAATGTAATGTGAGGAGTTACTAGTCTGTTATTTCTGATAATCTGTACTATTCTGGTTATACACTACTGAAAGAT